CGGGGGGGGGGGGGATTGGGACCGATGGCATTAATTATGTAGGTCGCTATCTGCCTGTTTTGTACGTCTTGTAACTGCACAGACGTATATCCACCCACACCGCACTAACACGCTGCGCATTTATCATCTGCACAACCGGCGCCATCGACATGTTCCGCCTCCCGTTGCATGAGCGCCAGCCCAAACGCAAAAGTGTGTTTAGTGGCCGTACGCTGCATGCCGCCTGTCGAGAGAGCAGAATGAGCGGGTGGTTAAGAGAAGGCGAGAACTTGATATTCTCCTTCCACACAAATCACCACGTTGAATTTATCTTTGTTCGTACATGTTATAGAAATCAGAAAGGCTCAAACAGACGTGCGTAAAGCGTGCAAGATGTCATGACAGGTGAACACGAACTCGCTTCGCCCCAGTCTTTTGGCACTCCGACCTAGCCTACCCTGCATCGAAGGACCTCTTGCTAAACCAGTTGGGACAGCTCTTCGATTCACCTCTCTACGAGGCTTCGCAAGTAACTCTGACACTGCTTCGGTTTCGCAGCCTGAGTCTGAAAGCAGGGATCCTTCTTGGCCCGACGCGGAGAGAGTGTCGCAGGAGTAAGCGCTTGGAATGGCAGCTTGTTTGCAGCCTACAGGCGCACTGGTCATCAATGAATGGTGCTCTCGACCCACGGGACCAAGCATGTGAGTTGACGACGTCTTGAGGAAGCTCTCTGACCGGCTTCAAGATCGAGCGGCTCTTCTTGCCCATTTCGTGGCTGAGGCCTGGCTCGCAACTGCTATTGGCAATGTGGTTGCGCAACACCAAGCCTGAAAGTTTCCTGCCGTTGCAGGAGCGGCGTCTTCCGCTGCCTGGGCATCAGTGCCCTTCTGTTCGCGGCTCTGCGCTGGGTGCAAGCACTTCAGGCATCCGAGCTTTTATGCAGAGCGAATTTTGGTGATGCGTGGATTTCCTGCCTCTTACTTCGGCAGACCGTACTTATGTCGAAATCGCAGATGTTGGCATCATGGCCATTGCCCGAAGCTCTGTGCTACTGCCATTCTTATTGAATGTGGTCACCTGTTGTTTCCTTGATACCGCGATGGAGTATGATGGTCGTCCCACGTTGAGTCGTGAATGGGGGTTGATACGGATGGATCTGCCACATACAACTGCAAGGACGATCGGCGCGGCGCACTCTGTGGTTGATCCCTCTGTGTAGCTTGAAGCACATTCCTGAGTTCTTATTAAGGAAATTTAAGTTACCACAGTAGGTAAATAATATGGTTTCCTATTATGGTAACTTAAATTAAGTCTTTAACAAGAACCCAGATTCAGATGAAGCGATGCCACGCAGCTTTTGGCCAGGCCGCCGGAATTGCAGCTGCAGAGACGCGGAGCACCAAGGACGTCCTTTGGCTCGTTGGCCTGAAGCTTGGACTGCACTGCCAAGGGATGGCAAGACACTCTAAGTCATGAGGCATTGCAGGTCGGACATATAGCATGTAGTTCAGCTCAAGAGCCCAGTGCTTGAAATGGGAAGTTGTTCCATCCGATGCTTGCCAGACTTTGTGAACGCTTGCGTGGAGCGGACGGCCTTTGGGCTACTTCAGTTAAGCCACGTGGCCAAGGATTGGAGTGACCGCTTCTTCCGCCTGCCTCGTGTGGAGAGTCTGGCCTGTCCTGAGCTTCATCGGAGACAAGATCATCTCCAACAACACGAAGATGAGACATAGGACACCGATTCTCAAGCATTGCCCGCAACGTCAGTCTAGATTTGCCATGCAGGCTCTTCGGCCCGTTTGGTTTCGGTCCCAAAGAAGACCAAGAGCAGCTCATGCGAGCGGTTGTCAAGAGGTGGGACGACAGAGCGCAACAACGATAGCAGCTTAACTTCTGAACTCGTCATGTCGCAGCCTGCGCTCTGAAGGGTGCACAACGTCGCGAGGGAGTCTGGATACGTGGCTTGTTGGCACCTGGAATAAGGCCGATGGGCAAGTTTTAGCTTTCCGCGAGATGCACTGTTACATTCAGAAGCTTGGGACTTACAGCTCTGCGGTGTGGCCTTGTCCCAGACGGGGCGGAACCCTCATGAGCCTTCCCTCAATGATGTGGAACGAGCTGCTGTGAATCGGAAAATATTGGAAACTTGCCTGAGTCGCTTCACAGAGGCCATGTCCATCTGCAATATGGACGTGAGCCATCCGCTGAGGCTGCCGAAGAACGAGCCCACCATGCTTACCACTCCGGCAATAATAAGAGCTTGAATGTGCAACGAATCACCTTGGCAGGCCTTTCTTTCCGACTAACAAGTTCAGCACCACCTTCATGTACAAGCTTCTGGGCTGCACCCTGCCTGGTACTTGCAATCCTCGGAAGACACCTCTGTCGGCAACTGCAGACATAGCTTAGTCCCCTGCGACAGGCCAGCCTTCAAGTCTCTAGTCTCGGGCTTGATTGGCTCAACGTAAGCATTTTGATCCCACCCCTCCATCACCCAGAGACTTCAGACCGACGCCCCGTAGAAACGGTGCTGTCGTGGGTATCGTCAGCAGGCCGCAAAAACACGTCCCACGTTTTGCACATCACCTCATGGCTGTCGAGCAAGGAGAGCATGTCTTGAACCAACCCCTCCCACATGGACGCAGGTCTGTGGAAGGCAGTAGCGCCGGCTTGCCACCTCTGTCGGCGGACAACTTCTTGGATCCCAGCCCTTTGGCCATTTCGGGACGAGTGCCCCTGTAGCTTCTGCCTCAAAGCTTGAGGTTGTGGGAAGGATGTTCGGTCTTTCCTCTTGGCTGACATACTTGTTCGAATATCAGCCCCGATTGCGTACTTATGCTAGGTATAGTCTTGCTTGGAAAGAACCCTCTAGCTCGACAAGCATCACGGATATGGTGACAGCCGTCTTCAAGTCTCAGCTTGGGCTTCCGTCTCTTTTTGACGACGATTCTTGGCCCCTCTTTGCGCCGAGGAGACCTTTAGCTACACGGCAGGCTGTCTTCGACTGGTTTCTGCTGCATGGCTGATGCGGATCCTGGAAGTGATGATGATAGTGGTATTGGTATGTGAATGGCTGTGACTCATTATCCCAGGTCTGAAGTCTGCATGGGTTTGATTTGTTATGAAAGTTTCACCCTTTACCTGGCCAAAAAACTATCTGTTAGGATTGTCTTATTGCTTCCAAAGCACAAGGATGTCTGCAGGAATTGTCGTTTCCTGTGTTATGAGGACATACAAGGGCCACATCTTTCCCGGAGCATAAAACCATGTCTTCATTGACGCCGCCCGACTAAGGAGACACCCTCCAAGACATCACACCCATTCATGTGCCGTCGTCGCCCCCCGCAGCGCATGTGCCTGGTGACGTCACCCAGGTTCCCAGGTTATGACGCGCCCGTCCCTGTAGTGTGCCCCGTTTGCCTGGAACCGCTGCATAGATGTACTTTCATTTTCTCATGAGGACAGAGAGGGTTCTCCTATTTCACACTGAAAGATAGCTGTAGCTGGAGCTCTTCTGCTACTTGCTGCGAGCAAGCGACTGGCACAAGAACCTTTTATTATTTCGGTTTGCAAAAGTGCTGTCAGCACTTATGTATGCATGTGCATATGGACATATATGCTTACAGAAAACTAGCAACTGGAACTGGTAACTTTGCTTTCCCTTGTTGCCCGTTGCGTAATTGCGCATTCCAAGGTTGTCCAATCCAGTTGGCTGAGGCTGGCAATAGGACCTTGGCCACAGGCCGTTTAGGGACTGAGTTGCTGAGCGTTGCGCCTTCCGAGCCTTAAGCGTGTTTTCTTGGGCAGAACTTGCGCTGCAGCGCTTTAGCTTACGGCTGAGGCAAGCCCACCTGGTAGTTTCTGCTTCTGATGCCTTTGACCTGAATGCCCTGAGCGCTTGGGGCACGTGCAGCAGACGACCCAAGGTCGACCGCTTCCGATTGATTTGTTGCCTCAATAGCTCCTGGGTTGAATCCCCTGAGCGCCAGGCTTCTGCGGAAAACTTCTTTGCCATGGCAGTTTTGCTGTCTTTTGCTGTGTTAGCAGACAAGAACCATGGGTTGGGATTGTGGGGTGTACCGTACTAATGTTTTGCAAGAGCGCTTCAGCAAGCGCAGTGGCAGTCCAGCTCCAACACTGCAAAGTCAGGATGTGCACGGCTGCCTTTCCGCTACGTATGTGGGGCTTTGTTGAATTATTTGTCGTACATGGGCTGTGATATCGAAGGCACCCGCTTTACCATTCCTGTTCTCATGCCTGGTTTGACTCACGTTCCCTGGCTCGGTTGCTCGATGAGTGGAGGATCATCTTGGAAACTATTATACAGCATGTGGCAGTGTGTGCATGACGACAGTGTGTGGTATCGTTCTCCTTTTTGCAGTACAAAGACACATTTATCAGGTAAGCAATGGCACAGGGTTAATGTAGCCAGTCAGTGTATCTCTTGAATCTTGCTTCAGGATCACTTGCTTCTGTTGTTTACACAATCCTACATATCGTACCACCGCACTGATGGTTCTGTGTGCTGTGGCTGTTCGATTTTCTGCGGTCGTCTAACCGGAACTAGAGGATCGCCTTACCGATGTTCCTGTGTTTTGGTAGCACTGAATAGCTCCGTGTTTATTGCGGTTTCAGAGTTCCAGCACGTCGCCATGATATTGAAGTGGTTCCCTTACCTCTGCCAGGACAATGGCCAAAAGGGCAAGGACCGCTTTGACGCGAGAAGTGTGGACACATTCGCCGGATCGTTGTTTGTGGAAGCATAGATAACATTACCGAGGGTCATACTTCTGCCACAACATACTTGCAACAAGGTTCCAAAGATTTGAAAAGTACTGGTAACAAAGCTCGTAAGTGTGGAAGAATCAACTTGCAACATACATGCCGAGTAGATAACATACTAAGCTCCTCCAGAATATGACCCCCACTTCGTCATAAGTTCAGCCATGTTACAATAATGAAGATTAAGCACACGGAGGAACATGAACGAGAACCTTAGTTTTCCTTGCACCCTTTCATGCAGAACTTCCGCACCAGACTAGAGCCTGCACCATCAACTCACCGCCCTCCCCACAAGCCACAAGGACGACGAGAGCAAGGCCGAGGGCGCAGAGCTCAGATGCTTTGCAGAGCGAGCACGTGCGGTGATGCTCGCGAAGATCCTGCTTTGGGGTTTAGGGTTTTTCAGACAACATGACCGGACATCAGAGAGTTTGAGCCCCGCAGCCGCCTTTGCAAGCATCATGGAGTTCAACGGGAAGTGAGCCTCGTGCTAGGAACGGCTACACCTGATTGGTGGAGAATGGAAAAGTCGAAGCTCCTAGACAAGAAGGCACCGTTGGCTTTGGAGGGGCTGTGCTCGTAGGCAAAAACATCCCAGCCCCCGAACCAGGAGCAGTCCAAGCGAGAGAAGGCCATGGAGCAGGAAATGAAGGAGATTGAAGCTAAGGAGGACGAGCGAAGCGTAGTTGATGTTTGGATCTGGGCTTTCGAGCGGTATCGCCGGCGCTGCCTGCCATCCGCCAGTTGCCTTCGCACATTTAGCGTGGCAGGAGAAAAAGAGAGAAGAGAAGAAGCGGAAAGCTCTCCTAGAAGCCGAGCGTCGGAAGGCTTTCAAGTTGCACCTTGAGTTCTGGAGCCGAAACCGCCAGCATAAATCGAACGTGCAGGCACTGTTGTGCACTCAAGTTTGCTATTGTGCGGCAGTGGTTGGGTTGAATGACGTGCTGGTGCTAGGTGCAAGAAGCTTTCGAGAAACGCAAAAAGGAGGCGGCATAGAGACTGATGGAGAGCCAATGGCAAAGGCTTTGGGTGTGACCTTCAATGACTGACCGACGGCAATTTCCATGCAATGTGAAATAACAAGCCCTAGCTGGTGCAAAACTCCTACAATGATGGTCCAGAATGCTTGTTGCTGCTACTCTTGTCCTTGACTAGGCTGAGGGGTTTGCAATAGGATTGGTTGTCGAGCGTGTCGAAGTTGTGTGCACAAAGGCGCAGCCTGCGCCTACAGCATCAGGAGTGTTTGTTGTGGAGCATTCAAGCAAAATGCCGGCAGCTTAATAAAAGCGGAGCAAACATGGGCTTAGGTGGTTACCATGCGCAGTAATCATACTAGCTGCTGCAGCTCCTCTTTGTTCGAGTTTGTAGCATTGTGATTTGCCTCCATTCTCTCCGATCACTGCTCTTGCCGGCACCGGCATTCTCACTTGGGCTACTACTTGTATTGATACTTTTACCATTTCAGTTCCTGTCATGGTTCGTTCTGTTCTGAAAATCCTGGGATCTTTATGACCGAAATCAGCCGCTGTGATCTCGAAACGTGTAGATCCTTGACTTGCCTGGGCAAGTTCATAGGATTGGTGCACTGGCAGTATAGCGTTTACAGGGCCTGCCAACACAAAGATTTCCATGGTAGTTTCAGGTAGTTGCTTCTTCCGTGGATGTTTGCGGCAGGCTGAAGAACAGAAGCTCCGAGAAGAGGAGGAGTGGAGAGCCAGGCCGCAAAAAAAAGATATCATGACTACCACTACACTCATTGATTATCATAATGTTTCTGATTTCAAGCTATTTTGCTGACATGGTTCCTACCGCGATTATGTTGCAATCCGTGCGGTTGTTATGAGGGTCGCGCAGATTCCCATCGTCATTGTGGCAGCTAGCGGACCGTCACTGTTCGTAACATGATGTGGGGGTTTACTGGGGTCAGAGTCACAGTATGTTCGCGATTCGCCAATTGAGGGTTTTGGGGGTTGCGCGAGGGTGTCAGAGGTTAGGAGATCAAGCCAGTAGGATGGCGGAGGGAAAGCACATGCTTCAGCAGAAACAGTCGTGTGCTCTGTCATCTCTTGCCGCTTTCTGGCGATGACCTTCCCGAAGTCACCCTTCGTTCGCGTTGCCTTCGTCCTACACTTGCAAATGTCGCTCTCAAAATCATCGCCCGGATCATTGCAGGTAAGAAGTCGTCCGGAAATTTCCTTCAATTCCCCCACCCCCCCTCCGAGATTCATCGCACGTCTCAACTTACTCCTAGCGCCCTCGTCCTAGTATCTGTCCTTAGCAGAGAGTACGGTGTAGGTCTTCGACAATCCAGACAAGCACCCTTCTTGAACAGGTTGTGGACGGGCGAGCTTTGAAAGCGATGGTTCGTGTAGGCTAACCTCGCCTAGCAGTGGTTAGTCTGCCAGGTTTGGGGGTGGAAGCTTTGCAGGGTAAAACTGCCAAACTCTGACTAGTTCTTCAAAGCTTGCTTTGGCTTTATCTTCGTGTAGCGGAGAGCAAGGTTCGACTTCAATGCCTGCGGAATTCGTAGGTTGAAGGAATTGAAGCTGAAGGCTGCATTTGCATGGATTGCTCCAGGCTCCGAGAAAGACGAGAGCAAGAAGCAAAGGAGGAAGAGGCACATGCGGGATGGCAGGCATATACCCGTAGCCCAGCAAAACACCTGCCAAGCTCGAAGCTCACCTGGAGTGGCATGCGCGAGAGTTCCGATTTCATGCCCCCGCCTCCGGGCAATTCGTGAGGCTTAGTTGGTTCGATCAAGTCTGCGAACCCCTAAATAAGACCACCTTTGAGTAACCGCGATTATTGGTTTATGCGCGAGTCGCATGTGCCGAGAAGTTTGCAGAGCAACTCATGACATGTTGTCTACTACTTGTCGGCTGTACTGTAAATACAGCAGCGCATGGGAGTTTCGGAAATGCGGACGTTTGTTTTGACTCCATCTACTGGGATTTTATAGGATCCTTTTTGCACACACCCCTTTAGTTTGGGACTCTTACTTCAAGTCAAGAAACCCCCACCTGCAGATCAACCTGGACCAGCAACTTTCTACACTAGTCTGCAGCACTAACTTGGAGTCTTTGATCCCTTATTTACGCACCACAAGTGTGAGACATCCCCCAAAACAAGCGTAAGACTTCGCCCTGAAACCAGTTTCTATGCCAGGAGCGTGAGAAGGAGCGTGAGGCGAAGCGCGAGAAGAAGCGCCTCGAGAAGGAGAAAAAGAGGAAGCTGGAAGAGGCGTACCGTTCGAAGACGCGTTGCCAGTAGGAGAAGTAGCTGCGATGGTTGTGGCGGCAAATATTCGTGTCGCTAAGAAGCAGAATATGTGCCTCGGACAGGGGGGATTTTTTGCGCCCACACTACTTGCTCGACCCTCCTTGAAGCCTGGAATGGCTGGGCAGGCAGAAGAGGCGCAGAAGAGGCAAGCGAAAGAAGCAGAGGTCGTGGGATTTTAGCTACAGGAAATGACTCTCCAAGTGGTTGTAGACAAGAATCTTCACGAGGCCATCCCACTCTCTTCTCTAAGCCCGACCCCCGTAACAACAAGGCGATTGAGCAGGCTAGAGTTTTGCCTGCAACTGCTCAAGCACAGGAAAAGAAACGGCGAGATGCTGAAGACAAGGCACATAGTTTGGTCATGGTGATCCGCCTGCATAGTTTCGCTTTGGATGGTGCAGTTGTTATGGAAGTGCTTGGATGTAGGGTAGATGGTGAAAACTTGCAGCGGATCACCATGAGGTGTCTTGGTTAGTAGTACATCAAGACCTTGCTTGCAAACGGATATGCTTTGTTGCACCTGTGCCCGCGCAGCTACACAGTGTTTCACCGACAGCACCAGCACACGCAGGCACATCTGCAGCCCGATGCTACATTTATCTTGAGTCTTATCACACCTTGCTCTTACAGCACATTCGTCGACAGCTGCAGAGCCAAAGGACAAACCCAGATGTCCTCTACGTACTGAGCCGTGCTGAACAAATGAAGGTGTTGGAACGTCGTCGAGACTTTAAAGTTTCTGGTTCCGGATTGTGTGCTGCTAGTGCACCCGTGTAGCTTCGCGAAGCTAGCCCTGAACCCCTAGGATCCTACACTGGAATCCGTCCGAGCCCTTGATCCACCTGTCCCATCCAGGAGAAAGCAAAGAGAGAAGCAGAACAAGCGCAGCAGGCACGTCTGATGATTTGACAAGTTCCATTTGGAAGCCAGCGTTCAAAGGGCCTTCTAGACAAGATTTGCTCAGGGCTTGACACGGTTCTGGCACTGTCTCCTAAGTGCTTTAAGGGGCTGCTTCATCTGAGTCTTGGCCACTGCAGGCTGCTGCGGAGTCCGCTCGGCTGCAGGCCACGCGCACTGTGTATGAGTATGTTATGTTACTGACGGGCCCTGTCTCTCTTTCTCTTGCTCTCCCTCACTCTCTCTGTCTCTCTCTCTCTCTCTCCCGCTTTCTCGCTCTCCCGGCACCCGAGCGCGGCTCGTGAGCAGGCAGCTGACAGCACTTGAAGCGAATGAAGTCAGCAGCCCCATGAAGCCGTGCAGGCCGAGATCATGGCGCAGCTACCTGCCCCGGGGCTGTTGGGCATGGCAGCGGCCAGAGCCTGACAGGGTCTTCGTGTCGCACGTCACGCGTGGGGCATTTCCAAAGTTTGCCCCTTCTTATTAAGATGCGATGGCCAAGAAAGCCCCTTGATTTCGAGACGCGTTTTAAGCTTGGTTTGAGAAAGAAGTCATACCGATACAACTGAATTTCACCTTGTCGGACCTCAGAAGGAAGGATCTATGTATACGGGGCCCGGTCAAAGGCAATCGAAGCGCGCCAAGGCCTCTTGGCCCAGTCGTCGCACATCAGCAACAACATCGAACCTGTAGAACGTAGCACAGGATGCAGTGTTTTGAAAAGTCTGTCCGGTAGAAGTAGTAGTCGTCGTCGTTGTCGTCGTCGTCATCGTAACCGTATACGTAGGCATAGTCGTAGTCGCGGTCGCAGTCGCAGCTGCAGCACAAACAGTTTGATAATCTTGGCATTTCTGTGTCTCCATCTCTTGTTTGTGCCCCACACCCTGAAGCCCCAAGACCCTTAACCAGGCATCCGGAGAGACCTTGAACGCGAACTCTCAACCCGGAATGGAGGGCGAATGTTGTGTTGCCCTGGGCCTTGTACTTCCGGCGTCCTTCAGTGCGTTCCCTGCGGTGTGACATGGTCATCGAAAATTAGGGGGGCCAGCCAAAACCGCGCAACCGAAGTTCAAGGCCTTCCAGGAGCAGGCGCTCATGGCCCAGGCGGCCGCGAATGCCATGGCCGGCTGCCAAGGCTCGCCCGAGTCTCACAAAGTTACGTGGGTCCTGGGCTGTTTTAACTAAAGGTGTTCTTTGGACTTCGAGTTGTAAGCCGGAGGTGTTGTCACAGCAGCCCGGGCCCATGTTTTCTCCACGTGGCCTAGGGAAAGAAGCACGGATGGTTGCTAGATCGCTCGTTTTTAGGATGCGACAGGGCCCTACTAGCCTTAGCGGCGCGCGAGGAGGCCTGCGCGTACACGAGCATCTGTCGACAGCATTGCAAGCTCTGACATGCACCCCACAGTAAGAGAACCACTCTGCAAAATTTCAGTTAGTAAACTGAGCTCCGCAGATGCTTGGCGCATCAGACTATTGGTGGTAACGTTCTCAAGCCGAGCGTGAAAGGTCGACCTCCGTTCTTGTTACTTCCCACCCCTAGGTCCCCCAGGTCTGTTGGCATTCAGGACTCGTAGGAAACGCGGTTTGTGATGTCTGTTCCCTAAAAAACCGACAACCTGAGACAGAGTCTTGTGATTGCTGGAATCCTCGCCAGAGTACACAACCCTTCTCAGGTTGTATGGGCTGCGGTTTCAACGGCTGTAACGGTTGCAGCTGTCCGACGATGCCGGGCTGGGACGCTTCGCAGGCTGCTGCCGCTTGAGGGTTTTCACGGAGCTGGTTATTTCTGTCTTGATGCGTTTGAGTGCTTCAGACTGAAACGGCGTTGTGCATTGAAGCACCGTTGCCACTAGACAAGCAACGATAGGTGGCATTTTGCAGGCGGCCTCAAGGCCATGCAATGCGCACGTTCAGAGGGAATTACATGTTTTATGCTACGGCTCGGAAGATCCACGCCGAGAAGGCTGATGCTTCAGCGCGTAGCTTACCGTGACCGGGCTCTTCGAAGTGCCTCTTAGTCTCGCAGCCTGGATGTATCAGAAGAAGTCCTTGCATCTGTTCCAGGCGGCTGCATTTGGCACAGGCGGGGACGCACCCTAGCAACAGTTGCTTCTGTTTGCTGGTGAAGCCGTTGGTGCCGGTGCTGTGCCTGTCCTCATCCCCCCGCTGCATGCGACGATGACGATGTCTACGACTGTGCGTGATTGCTTTCGAAGATCTGTAGTACTATGTGGTGGCTGCGGCCAGAGCGAAGACCACACACCTTCATGATGCAGACCTTGAGGCTTGAAACGAGTGCATGCGAGCGCCAAAGCTTCCCGAAAAAGCAGGATCGGCACTGCACCAATCGGACCACAGTCATGAAGCACATGGTTCCATGACGCGTGTTATTCAAAGAAAGCCTAGACAGCCCCCGCAGGATCCAACCCATAGTTGTTGAATAATACCTGTACTAATACGGCTTCCCTTGTGCCAGACATGACGGGGAAGAAAACTGTCCAGCATACAGGGTAGAAGCTGCTGCTGCTGTTGAAATCAGTTGCTGTTGCTACCGCAGTTGCTTTTGCTGTTGCTGGTGCTGGCGCTGCTGCTGCTGCTGCTGCTGCTGCTGCTGGTGCTGCTGCTGCTGCTGCTGCTGCTGCTGGTGCTGCTGCTGCTGCTGCTGGTGGTGGTGGCGGTGGCGGTGGCGGTGGCGGTGGCGGTGGTGGTGGTGGTGGGGGCGGCGGTGTTGGATGGCTGTCGCCGTTGTTTGCAAGGACAGGCACGACAGCCGATAGCGACAGCGAGCACTAGTAAACCCTAAAATCCTGCAAACAAGAGTTCTAGTCAGCTTCGGTCACCCAGCCAGGTGTTCCACCGGGCTGGTCGCAATGAGCCACCGCGAGTATAGTGTTTGGGAAACTTGGGATTTAGTTGCAAGGACAGACCTCCCAGAAATTGCCTGAAGCGCGCTTGCTAAACTTGGTTTTTCGTGTATTGACGGTGGTCGCCTCTTTCATCCGCTGCCCTCGCTTCTCTAGGGTCGCAGAAGCGATACAGGATTCGACAAAGAAGTTGAGGGGATGGATGAGAGAGCATGTGCGAACGTTCTTAGATGCACCTCGGTGCCTGGCTCAGACCAGACTGCACTTGCTGGCCTTGTGCTTGGCAGGGAGAGGCGGCACAAGCTTCGTGTAGCCAAGGCTTGAGGCCTCACTCCCAGTTCATCCCACGGAGCAGCACTTCCGGACTCTCGCCTCAGGAACACACTACGAAGTACTTCGAAGTGTTTGTTTTGTGCCACAGGTGACTGGCACCTAATCAGGCAAGGAAGCAACCAGGAGTGAATCGATGCTGCCTCTCCTGGCAGCAGGGACCTTCGTTCTAGGCACGACGAAAGGACTGTTAGATCGATTTGCATTCTGAAAGTCATCTTCATCATAATGGCTGTTCTTCCTTCTAGGGGACGGCATGATTCTGGAGCATGTGCCGCCACTGATCCAACACCTGCATCAACTAAGAGAGACATGCCAAGACCAACTACTAGCTTGAACATCACTGCCACAGACCGTGAAGCAGAGGAGTCGGGGTAGGAATATCAACAGTACGCGTACTTGTCACAGCTGTTGTTCGCCGTGTTCCTGTGGCTAATACTGATGTTGAGAATGTAGATGGTTTATGCCACTCATGATGTCGGTAAGAGAAGATGCGTTTTGGCTGATGCAACGATCTTAGGACTGCAGTCGTTCATCAGAGTCGTTCCTAGTTCGTCGAGCTCCGCCCCATGCAACTGCCAGAGTTGCATTTTCTGGGCCTTGCTTGGGCGTGACGATTGTCAGCAACGTCCTGAGCGATTTCGGGGCAGATTTGGCATAGCTTCCACTGGCATTAACAGACAGACACAACCCGTTCTACAAGCAGAGCATCACTTCGGAACTTTACAAAATGTAGCTGTCGAAAAATGGCAGAAAAACGTTCCAGTGAAGTCTTACAGTAGTTGCTCCGGCAAGATGCCTCGCAGCATACGAAAAGACTTGCCAGCCACCCACCGCGGAAAAAGACGCCATCCTCCTGGAGTTGAAACCGGCCACACGTAAACCTTCAATGCCGCCTGGCTGCTAACAAATTATTCTATTCATGGAAGATTTCAAAAAATCGAAATATTTGTTTGATTTTATAAGATTCATTAGAATTCTAGATAGAAATAATTCGAAATACATTTATTGATATATGGATATTGGAGAAAAAGATAATAATGAATAATTTTGAAAATCTTTTATATTAAAATTTCGGAACTTGAAATTTCGTATTGTATTTTTTAGATTTGACTATTTGATTTGAACTTCATAGAGAGATGAAAATTATTCGAATTGATTAGATGAATTATTCTTTTGACTAAATGAAATGAATCGAAATTCTTAATTGATCTTATATAAATATATATATATATAAACGAATAGATGTATTTTTTGGATAGATAAATGATTTTAAGAAATTCTATATCCTATTATTGATAATTAGATTGAATTATAAGAATCGATTGGATTGAGAAATTGATTTATTGTCATATTTAAGGCATTTATTTTATGCCGCGATAAAAGAAAATATGATTAGATATATTTGAGACATGGGGAATTCGTTAGAATTATAAGATACGAAGGTATTTTGATATTTTTTATTTTTAGATTAGGGTTTGTCTCGAATTTGTTATTATTATTATATTTCTAATAAATATTGATATATTAATAAATTCTGAATAATGATTATTTGATTAATTTGAAACTCTAATAATAATAATAGATCTAATGATTTAGATTCTTTTTTTCAAGATTTTTTTTAAGACTCATATTTGCAAGCTTTAAAATTAAATATAATATCTTGAAAATTGAAAGCTAATTCTAGGCGAAGATACTTAATAATTCTAGATGATTATTACATAATAGAATCTCTCTCATTATAATAATCTAGATTCTATTAATTTTAAATGATGAAATCTATTATCGAATAGGATTCGTCGTCTTATGAGATTTGATTGTATTTGAATTAAATATGAGATTCGTTATTTATATGATATTTCACATGAAAATTTGAGTTGAA